TGACAGCCAATCAGAATCCATCCTGCTATAACGAGCTCGAGAATTTAAAGCGGCAGACGTGTGTGCACTTAGAATAAACAGACGATATCGTTCGCTGGTGTGGAGGCTAATATCGTTGTCTTTATAGTTATCTTTAAAGTTATCGTTCTTGGTGTGAACGGGGCTTTACGAAAGTGATCAAAAGACTGCAGATTTTGCCCTACAAGGAATTATAGTAAATCTATAGGCCCTATCATACACCTGGCGTGGACAGCACACACACACACACACACACACAGATGTGTGTGCATTCCTCTCCCTGATTAATCAGTATTTGGCCGGATCATATAACGCCAGCTAATTGTCGCAGGCACCCTGTTATATCCATCTCAGAGAACAGACTTTGATAAGTGTTATGCATCAAATATCATGTGATCTTAGATAAGTCATAACTAATACTATGAAGGATGTACATAGTGCTCCCCAAAATAATTTTGTTTAATTTACACTTAAAATAGTCTAAAATGCTTTTAAATTACATGCAAAATATCAAACCAAGTAGCATCTGCAAACTATTCACTTCACATGTTTGATGTGTCCAAGAGGTGTCAAAATATTTTTCTTCATTTAAAACACATAATATTCCTTCAGAAATCATTCTTATATGCTGATTTGCTGCTCAAGAAACTTTTATCATCAATTACTATCAATGTTGAAAACAGCTGCGCTGCTTAATATTTTTGGCAATGGCAATTTTTTTTTTAGGATTAAGTGATTAATATAGTTTATTTTAAAAATCGACGCGTTTCAAAAAGGCGGGGCATAGAGGAGAAACAATAATGTACAGTATGTGGAAAATAATGTGTTTTTTTTACTTTAAACCGCATAAACACATTTCATTACACCAAATACACAAAATAATGTTCTTTTTAGCAGCATCATATGACCCCTTTAAAATGGAAATCTTTGTAACGCGTGTAAAAGTCTTTACTGTCCCTTCTGATAAATCCATTGTTGATGTGTAAAAGTATTAATTTCTTTAAAAAAAAAAAAACCTTTGAACAATAGAGTTGTATAAATCTTACTTATTAAAATTTTTTTAAGGTTTTGCTTGAAAAGTCTGCTTTTCTGCAGTGATGTCCATACACGTTTCAGTGTCTTAAATAGCTGCTTTTAGGCTCATTGCTAACAGTCGGAAAGCCTCACAGTCAATAAATAGGACAGGCCTGAAACAAATCCAATCACCTTACAGAATCTTGACAAAAACCCAGACTCTGACTTAACATCTCAAAGAATGGTCCATCATGTGCTAATGTGAAAATGGAGTTGAGCTGGCCAAAGCACAGTAAATGAGCGCAGAACATGACAACGAGCCACGTTAGTGAGTTTATGCCATCACATCTGCAGGGATGACAGTCAAATCACTGCGAACGGTGAAAAGTGAAGTCATTTTATCACGGCCAGTGCTGTACACCACATATATTCATCCATTTACGAAACCCCTTTTTGAGGATTTTACGTGTGGAATGTCTTATCAAGTCGGGAAATCTTTGGAAAACGAACTCTTATCTATAATGGAACATACTGTACGGCTGTAGTCTGTTGCATGTAAATTCCCAGAGGCGTTTGGACCGGTAATAAATCAGGGTTAAATTAAATTTGTTTTGGTGATTGATGACAAGAGTGTATAAGGCTCAAATAGGAGGACATTATTCAGCCAGGAAATTGTTCAATATTCCAGACGATAATTTAAAGGCATTCTGAGTTTTCCCGGTAAACGCACAGTTCTCAGGACTGCAATGAAAGAGCAAGCACCAAAATGACTTCCTGAATGCCAAATAAATCATCCGTGGGCCAACTTAATACTCAATATGCGTTTAATTTACTTCAGGGAACATATGCACGGTATGGAAACTAATGGAGGGGGAATGAAAACAACACCATCCCAAGACGTAAATTCAAAGTGCCTAATAAATCAAAACCAAAACATGGCTCTAAATTCAATCAAAAACGTTGTTCGCGACTAAATTCTCTCTGACATTTAAAAAGCCTCGCGTTCTAAGCCATCTAATGAATTTCTGGTAAAAAATTAGGCTTGAGATGTAAACGTAAGCTTGGACTTTTGATGAGAGTGTATAAGGCTCAAATAGGAGGACATTATTCAGCCAGGAAATTGTTCAATATTCCAGACGATAATTTAAAGGCATTCTGAGTTTTCCCGGTAAACGCACAGTTCTCAGGACTGCAATGAAAGAGCAAGCACCAAAATGACTTCCTGAATGCCAAATAAATCATCCGTGGGCCAACTTAATACTCAATATGCGTTTAATTTACTTCAGGGAACATATGCACGGTATGGAAACTAATGGAGGGGGAATGAAAACAACACCATCCCAAGACGTAAATTCAAAGTGCCTAATAAATCAAAACCAAAACATGGCTCTAAATTCAATCAAAAACGTTGTTCGCGACTAAATTCTCTCTGACATTTAAAAAGCCTCGCGTTCTAAGCCATCTAACGAATTTCTGGTAAAAAATGAGGCTTGAGATGTAAACGTAAGCTTGGACTTTTGATGGATTCAGATGCAGATGCCTCTACGGTAAAAAGCATATAACTCATCCTCTCCTGTGGCCAATAAATTGCAATCAAAAGGGTAATTACCGGTGGTGTTGTGTGTGTGCCATTACAGTCTCTGAGTAAATAAGCAGCATCTGCTTTTGCGCTGCCAGACAAAGACCATGAATCAAGCCGGGGGAGACAGGCTTGTGATAAAGGCCTGGCCGCCCATCACCAAAACAGAGGGCTCAAAGATAAATATCTGACTATCTATTGTAACAACAGTCAATTACATCATTATTTTTCTAATGAGATAGGCCGAATCACTGATGGGCTGAAATATGTTTAGTCTAGCCCCCCAACCTGGAAGTGGTCAATCTCTGTCGTTGAGAACCTCAGATCAGAAGTAGCGCTGTCCCGGGACCCCAGGTG